TAATACACATTCTCTATGCTCAACACACTTATTAGCATACACTTCTTATCAACTCAATTAAATTTTAAATGCATTAACTCTTATATTTATAAGGAGATTTCTCCCCTGACTATCCTAATTTAACTAGGAATATAATTATCTAATTAAAAAAGATTCTAATAAACTAGTTTAACTCAATATATATATATATATATATATAAGATTCTAATATATTTTTGGATTTATCTAACACCTTTGAAGACCAATTAGGATCCTAAATTACTATAAATTTAAATAGCAATTTTTTTTATCATTTTTACATAGAGATTGCATCCATGTCCCTTGTGACAATATTCAAGAACTTAATTAATAAGGTGTATTGAGCCTAGATGTCTATCTTCTTAGTTGTTTTCAAATAGAAGTATTGGCACTCATGAGAAGCCATATCCACCTCCTAATTTTGTTATAAGTAAAATTAATTTTATTTGTATAGTTTATCATTATCAGAAATTCGCTTAATACCAATAAAATTACCGATAACATAATTTTATTGGTAAATTGCAGTGATAATTACCTATGAATATTATTTTGTTTGTAATTCAGTTGGTATATGCCGATGGAATATCGCTCGATAGAATTACAAATAAATTAAAAAATACCAAAAATATCTCAACCGTTAGATCTAATAGTGTTTAGATCTGAGCCTTTGATTTCTTAGGATACAATAGGCTTTACCACACCAGATAAAAACCCAAATCAATCTCAGCCGCTCAAATAATCTGCCCTTCGATCTAGTTGCGCCACGTCAGCCGGTATACCGAGCACTCGGTACACCGCGCCGCACCTGATCGTAGACCATTCAATCCTGACCGTTAGATCAACTTGGAGATCAAACGAATCACAGCCGCACGATCTATTCATCCAAGATCCAGCGGTTCACAGCCTTCAGACGCATGAGTGCACCATACACTCGTCCACACCAGATCAAAACTCAGAGCTTCTCTCTCCTCTCGCCGGCGATTCTCTCTCTCCACGGATCTCCCATTTCCGGCCGTCTCAAGCCGTGCAAACACCTCAGAATTGTGCATCGCCTCCCCCTGAGCAAAAAACCGGCCTTTTCACACTTTTTCACCGGCTAATTTGGCCGGAAAAAGGCCGTGACCGACATCGACCAAACGACCTTCAAGTCGTCGATTCTCCCTCCTCAGCCATCAACGGACAACGAGACCACCACCATCAGAATCCTCGTCCTCAGATCTACCAGAATCGACTATCTTTTGCCGGAAACTCGCCGGAAAATTTCGCCGTGAACAGTACCCGCGCGTGAACAGTAACCGCAGGTCCAGTGGCGTTTTCGTAAATTTTTGATAAATCCGAGGGTATTTCAGTCTTTTGCCTATACAGGGGTGCTCAGGTAATTTTTTATGATATTTTATTGTATTTTTTGATATTTTTATATATAAATACTTGTAAATTCTTGCATAAAAAAAAAACAAAAGAAAACCAAAATAAATAACAACGCGGGTTTAACACCCATTTTATCATATCACTGTTCATAGGTCAAAAACCCAATTTTCAAGAATTGATATATCTATTTGTGAATGATATCAAAATAATTTTTATTTAATAAAATAAATTTTCTCGACACGTCTCTTTTATTTATAGAAAAGGACCGATGTCAAAAATTTAAATACCAAATATGGATTATGTCCATTATTATTTATTTTGGTAAATCAGACGTAACTCTCCTTTTTAGGGATAAACGTCGACATTTTAGACAAAGCCTCCTAATTTTAGGGACTGATGTCATTTTTAACGCGTCTCCTATTTTTAGGGACCGACGTTAAATATGTTAAAAATTTACAAATAAGCTCAAAATATAATAGCATTTGAATCAAAAATAAGAAAAACACACAAGTAAAGGTAACCTTTCTCTGAAAGGATGTTTTAAGGGTGGTGTCTACCTTCCCTTAATCATAACTAACCCAGTACCCGAATCTCTGGGACCAGTGTCTAATTTTGGATTTCTAGTTCCCTCAAATTACTAGATGGCGACTCCAATAAAATCTTTATTTCCCCCAATCAAATAAAAAATTAAATTCCTTTTGTTTTAAAAAAAAAAAAGGAGTGGAGCCGTCGCCCGACGTCGTGTATCGACAGAATGGCGACTCCGCTGGGGAATTAGGGTTGAACCAACTGCTTGTGTTTGCTTTTCATATGATTTTTCTTATATGCTATTTATTTTTTGCATTTATTTTATTTACATTATTTATTACTGTAATTCTTTTCAATTTTTCATATTGGCCACATGCATGCATGATATTTATTTGTGTATTCACACACTTCATGATGAACCCATAAAAGCTCTGGACCCGAGCTTCGTCCTTTTTAAGATTAGAAAAGAAAGATTCAAGTGGCAAGTGTGACTTATGTCCACTGATGCTCATTTGGACTTTCGCTTGGATTGTAACTCACCCTATGCAACGAGTATTGTGGAATTTTATCCCATACTCATGTTGCATAAGGTTAAGAGGCCGATTACTTCACAAGTAATTCGGGCAATCTAAGAACCAAATAATTTCTTTAAGGATAGAATAAATTAAACCAAACCTTATGAGTTAAATCCTATCAAGTAGGATATAAGACACAAATAAATTGTCAATGCATTAACATACATTTTCATATACATTCCATATTCTCATTATATCTCCACCGATCCTTATAGGAAGTGTGAGATGGAAAAAACCAATACTATTGAGGAATTTTTGACCAGATCAGAATTGAGCCAACATGATGAAGGGGATTGTTTGCCATCAGAATTCGAGCCTCAATTACCGGCACAGGTTAAATTAGATGACAGACCACTTGGTACAGGACAACTACTGAACTGTTGGGAAATGTTATCTATTCATGATCAGGTCAATTTTCAGAAACAATATGGGGACTTGGCACATTTACTGAAAATTAGGGTCCAACATGCCTGTTTTCAAGCCATGATAGGTTTTTGGGATCCAGAATATCGGTGTTTCACTTTTGATACTGTGGATATGACTCCTACTATCGAGGAGTATGGATCTTTGCTAAATTGTCCCAAGTCAGAAAAGGTGTACTTTTACACACCTATAGAGCATGCACTTTCTAACTTTGCTTGGATTACCCAGATAGATTGTCAACTAGCAAAATCACATGCAACTAAACGAGGAAACAGCCAGGGTTGGTTTTGGAATGAGCTAGAAGCCATATTCAAGAGGAGACTACATGATGAAAGCAATGAAATTCGATTGAGAATTTTGGCGTTGGGCATATACGGTTTGGTTCTTTTCCCATCTGCCGAGGGAATGATCGATTTTGAGGCTGTTAATGTATTTAAAAATGTGGTGACCCTCAAAATTAATCCTGCTACAGCAATATTGGCAGAAACTCTCTCATCTTTGAATTATTGTAGAAAAGCCGGAAAAGGTCGTTTAAGATGTTGCTTGCAGCTTTTGTTTGTTTGGACTGTGAGTCACATGATTGAGGGGAAGATCTCAGGTTTGGTTGGTACCCCATGGCATCTTTATTCTAAGTTGGAGAATTTTGCTGAAAAACATTTGCATGAAGTAGGAAGAACTACATGGGAATCAATGTTTCTGAGTTTGAGTAAATCTCAATTTCATTGGAGGAGTCGATATTCTTACTTCAAATCTTATCTAGCATATTGTGGTGAGTACCCATGGGTCCCGTTGATAGGAGCCCGCTGCTGTATTAGCTATTGTCCTAACATGGTTTTACGACAGTTTGGATTTGAGCAGTTTATTCCAAGGACTACCGAGCTGGCAACATTCTATGAAGATTTCAAGACCTCAAAGAAATTATTAGAGTCAGTGAAAAAGGCATGGAAGCATCCTGGTAGGGTTATTTCTGTTAATAGGGTAGAAGGAAAAACAACTAAAGGATATCCAATATGGCAGAAGAAGAGAGGGAAAGGGTACAAAGTTCCTCCATTTGAAGGGCCATCTAGGTCTGTGATTCAGTCTGCTGAAGACATACATGAAGAGGTTCGTGCTCAACAAGAATTTTACAACCTAGATTTGAATTCTGAAGTAGAAGAGTTAACGGCTAAAAAAAGAAAGTTAGCATCTAATCTAGCCATCCGAGAAAAAGCATTGGCTATCACGAAACAGGAAAAGGATGACTTGTCAACTCAGCTACAACATCAACAACTTGAGTTCCAGCGACTACAAGAAAAATATGCACTTCTGTCAGAAGATAAGAGGAAGCAAGATGTCAACGTGAAGAGATGGGTTAAAAGAGCATCAAAATCTGAGGAAATAGCATTAAAGTTGGAAGAGGCAAATAAATCACTTCAGGAACAGTGTCAAAATCAAGATGCAGTGATTGCCAATTTAGATGAGCAGGTGAACCATTTGCTTTCCATTAAGCAAACCTTATCATCAGAAAAAGAAAATGCAGAAAAAGAAGCAGAATGTTGGGCTTCTGAAGCTATGCGCTATCATGTACAAGCAGATGATGCCAAGAATTATGCTTCAGGATTAAGAAGCATGGCCCAACAAATAGCAGATGGTGAACCAATGACTAGAAATGAATTCCATTAGTTTTTTGGGCTAATCAGAGATGGGATTAATGAGATAGCAGCATATGACGGCCCAAGGCTTTGGAAAGATTGACTTGTTGTAATTCTGATATTGTAAACCAATAAAAGACAATTTCATCATCTTTTTTATTATGAAAAATGTTTATTTTGATATGGATTTATGCCATCAAATTTCTTCCCTAAATCGGTTCAAGTTCCTGTAGGTTTGGAGTCCTCAGTGAGAACTTTTTTTTAAGAGAATCTGATCTGGTCTATTCCTCATCGTAAGTTAAAGGAAAACCTAAAACAAATAACAGGCATACATCATCCATATAGCATTTTGCATCCATTTGTGCATTTCATTCATTTTTATGGCATTCATTCAGGCTGAAATATAGGTCCCCCAAAAGACCATAAAATTCATTACACTCGACTGCGAAGAAAGATAATGGAGAACGAAGAAAGAGCACATCTGGAGGCTCATTATCAAAGGGAGTTGGAGAGTATGAAAAATGATATCGCAAGACTTACAAGTCTACTCGAGCAGGCCCTAGTATCCAAGTCTGGAGAAGATACCTCTACTCAGCCAACGGTTGCAACTCCATCTATATCTACTCCAGTAGCTCCTTTCGTGTTCACTTCTCAAAATCTAGGGGCAAATCCTTCTTCATCTGAACAGCAGTTCACTGTCAATGTTCCACCAGCACAAGTGCCGATCATAAACTTGACAACTGATGACTCACATAAGATGAGATACTCTAAACCTGTTGATTATGACAAATTGACCGCTCTAGAAGAAAGATTGAGAGCAGTCGAAGGGGCCGACTTATATGATCCTGTTCATGCTGCAGAGATGTGTTTAGTCCCAAATGTAGCTGTACCTAAAGAATTTAGGGTACCAGAATTTATCAAATATACGGGAACTGAATGCCCAGTCACTCATCTTAAATCTTATTGTAATAAGATGGCAGAAGTGGTGAATGATGAGAAACTTCTCATCCATTTCTTTCAAGACAGTCTTTCTGGATCAGCACTAAGCTGGTATACAAGACTAGATAATACAAAGATTAGAAAGTGGAAAGATTTGGTTAAAGCTTTTGTGGAGCAGTACAAATTCAACATGGAGGTAGCCCCGGACAGGTCAAGCTTGTTAGTCATGGAGAAGGGCACCAAAGAGACTGTAAGAGAATACGCTTTGAGATGGCGTGAAAAAGCATCTCATGTGCAACCCTCTTTGTTAGAAAAAGAAATGGTCACTCTGTTTACCAACACTTTTAAATCTCCCTACTTTGAACACCTAGTGGGTAGTTCAGCTCAGCATTTTTATGATGCTGTAACTATTGCTGAGAGGATAGAACAAGCAATAAGAATAGGGAGAATGTTAGAGCCTACTGAGAAGAAAGGCTTTATCGGGAAAAAGAAGGAGTTTGAGGTGAACAATATGGAAGGAGGGTACAAGGGTAAGAAGAAAAATTACCATCACTATAACTTCCAAAGACCTACCCAACAAGTTGCAAGTGTAAGCTTCACTAAACCTTTCCCTCCCAACCAGCAAAACCAACCAAATGACCAACAAAGTAACCAGATTGGTAATCCTACAAGAAGGAATTTTCAAAGAACCCAAGAACGATTGCCACCATTACCACTTCCCTTGGGAGAAATGTATTCGAAGTTGTTGAGTATTGGGCAAGTGGCCCCTGTTCCTTTAACCCCACTACAACCTCCATACCCAAATTGGTATAAGCCTGATATGACATGTGAATATCATGCTGGCATTGCTGGGCATAACATTGAAAGCTGTAATGCATTCAAAAACAAGCTCCTTCAATTGATAAAAGCTGGATGGATAACTTTTGATGATGCACCGAATGTGAATTCCAACCCTTTACCCAATCATGCTACAAGCAGTGGAGGGGTGAATGCTATCGGAGTAGAGGGTAAGAAGGAAAGAACTTTGAAGGTTTCCATGGAAAAACTGTACGGTATGATGGTACAGTCTGGATATTTATCCGAGTTTGAACCAGTAATGAATGGAAATAATTACTGTAAGTTTCATGCCAAGGTGGGACATCATATTGATGATTGCGAAGAATTTCACCAAAGAGTGAAAAGGATGTTGATTTTCGGCATGATACGGATAGAAAGTGAAGAAGAAAGCAGTGAAGTGGGAATGATAGGCAGCCAGGAGAAAAAAAGAGAGGTTTGTAGACTCCAACCAACTGTGGGTGGTCCGCCAAAACTAATCCTAATCAAGCCTGTATGTACCAATAATGGAAGTTATGGCACAATGCCTTACAATTATGGGTATGCTTTCAACGTTAAAAATCCTACTCCTGTCTTCCATACAGAAATCGGTGGTTTAACTCGAAGTGGTCGTTGTTTTACACCAGAAGAATTAGAGAGGCAGAGGAAAGCTAAAGGAAAAGAAACAGTTGAGGCTTTTAAAGATATGGAAGTGAACAAACCCATAAGTGAAGAGGAGTCTAATGAATTTCTGAAGTTGATGAAGCATAGTGAGTATAGTATAGTAGATCAGTTGAAGAAAACTCCTGCTAGAATCTCTTTAATGTCACTTATCTTGAGTTCTGAGTTACACCGTAAAGCGTTGCAAAAGGTGTTGAATGAAGCATATGTGCCACAGGATATTACTCAGGATACAATGGAGCATTTGGTGGGAAGAATTCAAGCCTCTAATTACTTATATTTCACTGAAGATGAGCTAGACCCGGAAGGGACTGGGCATAACAAGCCCTTGTATATCACTGTGAAATATAAGGACTGTCTGATCGGCAAAGTGCTTGTGGATAATGGTTCAGCTTTGAATGTGTTACCAAGGTATATGCTGGATGAGATGCCAATTGATGCTACTCATATGAGGCCAAGTACTATGACGGCTAGAGCATATGATGGTTCCCCTAGACAGGTGATAGGGACCATTGATATTGAATTGTTTATAGGGCCTCAGATGTTTTTGATAACCCTACAAGTGATGGATATCCATCCTTCCTATAGCATGTTATTAGGAAGGCCATGGATACACGCCTCTGGGGCTGTGACATCATCTCTACACCAATGCTTGAAGTACATCATCAATGGTACTTTAGTGAAAGTTAAGGCAGAAGAAACCTTGTCCATGATAAGGAATGTGGCGGTCCCTTATATTGAAGCAGAAGATTGCAAAGATGGAGATCTCCATGCCTTCGAGATTGTGAACACCGAATGGGTACCGGAGAATACTGTGTTAAGAAGACCAGCTATTTCTAGTACTGCTAGAATGATAGCTAAATGCTTTTTAAAACATGGGCTGCCATTCCAGAATGATCTAATTGCTGGAAATCATAAAAGAGTCAACATGATGAAAATTAAGGCCGTTGATCAGAGGTTTGGGCTTGGCTTCAAGCCTAAGAAAGATGATCATAAGAGAGCTGCTAGGATAAAGCGAGAGAGAAGGTTGGCCAGAATAGAAGGAAGAAAGCCAGAAGAAGAAGACATTGCAATCCCACCTATCCATGTTTCTTTTCCAAAGTCAGCATATGTGATGAAACCTGAAAACATGATGGAAGTCTTGGGGCAGAAACTTGCTGTCATGGATATCAACAATGTAGAAGAAGGTGAAGAGAAAGGCTGGAACTGTGATGATGAGCCAATAATAATAAAAGAAGATGAATTGTTACCACAGTTAACTGTCCATGCTCTAGAAGAAGCTCCAACCAACGCTTTTGTGCGAAAGCTTTCAGTTGAAGAAGTATTCCAGAATTGGGAGATTGAAGAAGCCCCAATTGTTTTCAAGAAGTAATGATTAAGTGTCTACTTATATTTGCTTTTATGTGCTTTGCATTGTACTTTGCTTTGTGATTTTATACCTAGTTGGAAATCTTGGTTCAAGATGACAACATAAGGTCTTTTCATAATTGTTGAGTCAACCTTTAAAATAATATTGAGATCAAGCATTTTCATCAGTATTTGTTGAATTCCTTTTATTTTGTTTGGCTACAAGATATGCATTCACACTAAAAAACACCTTCCACTTTCAGGAATTCTGAAAGTGAATCCTCCATAAATCCACAAACATATTGCATTGAAAATGAATGGCCAAACTTTGATAAGGATGAGATTGCAATGGATGAAGAGGAATGGGATGAAGAGTTTGCTAGACGGGTAGAACAGTCGGAGCATGCTTGGAAACCTGCGAAGGAAGAACTAGAGGTGATAAATGTAGGCACTGAGCAAGATAAAAGAGAGTTAAAGATTGGAACTCTGATCACTACAGAAGAAAGATGCAGTTTAACCTCATTACTACAAGAGTATATCGATGTGTTTGCCTGGTCTTATACAGATATGCCTGGTTTAGACATTGATATTGTAGTACACAGATTACCTTTGATAGAAGGATGTAAACCTGTTAAGCAGAAATTAAGAAGAACTCGCCCAGATATTGTGCTCAAAGTCAAGGCAGAGATAGAGAAGCAGTGGGATGCCGGTTTTCTAGAAGTTATTAAATACCCTCAATGGGTATCTAATATAGTGGTGGTACCAAAAAAAGATAACAAAATCAGAGTATGTGTAGATTTCAGGGATCTAAACAAAGCCAGTCCGAAGGATGATTTTCCTTTGCCTCATATAGATGTCCTGGTAGACAATGCTGCTAGGAGTTCAACTTACTCCTTTATGGATGGATTTTCCGGTTATAACCAGATTAAAATGGCTGAAGAAGATAAAGAGAAGACCACTTTTGTCACACCATGGGGAACATTCTGCTACAAAGTGATGCCATTCGGGTTGAAGAATGCTGGAGCCACGTATCAAAGGGCAATGGTGACACTTTTCCATGATATGATGCATAAAGAGATTGAAGTGTATGTGGATGATATGATTGCCAAGTCTAAGAATGAAGAAGATCATGTTCAGGTTCTAAGAAAATTGTTTGAAAGACTAAGAAAGTATCAGTTGAAGCTGAATCCTTCAAAATGCTCGTTTGGGGTAAAGTCTGGAAAGTTGCTAGGATTTGTGATAAGCAATAAAGGAATAGAGGTCGATCCTGATAAAGTGAAAGCAATTCAGGCTATGACAGTTCCTAAGACTGAGAAAGAAGTAAGAGGTTTCTTAGGACGTTTGAATTACATTGCTCGATTCATATCTCAGTTAACAGCAACATGTGAGCCAATTTTTCGATTACTTCGAAAAAAGAACCCTGGTACATGGGACAAAGATTGTCAAGAGGCTTTTGATAAAATAAAGCAATACTTACAGAATCCACCTTTACTCGTGCCCCCTGTGCCTGGAAGACCTTTGATCTTGTATTTGACAGTAACTGAGGTAGCAATGGGTTGTGTGTTGGGACAACATGATGAGTCTGGAAGAAAGGAGCAAGCTATCTATTATCTGAGTAAGAAGTTTACAGATTGTGAATCCAGATATACTGTGACTGAGAAGCTATGTTGTGCTCTTGTATGGAGTACGAAGCGTCTTCGACAATATATGTTGTATTATACCACCTGGTTGATCTCAAAAATGGATCCTCTTAAATACATCTTTGAGAAACCCTACTTGTCAAGCCGAATAGCAAGATGGCAAGTGATGTTGGCTGAGTATGACATTGTATACAAGACAAGAAAATCTGTAAAAGGAAGTGTAATTGCTGATCATCTAGCAGATAATGCTATCAATGACTATGAGCCTTTGAAATTTGACTTCCCGGATGAGGATGTGTTGATAGTAGAAGAGGACAAAGAAAAGAATGATTGGTGGATCATGTATTTTGATGGGGCAGTGAATGTTTCTGGTAATGGAGCAGGCGCTGTGATAATCTCACCTGACAAGAAGCAATATCCCGTCTCAGTCAAACTACAATTTGAATGCACTAACAATACTGCTGAATATGAGGCTTGTATCCTTGGATTAGAAGCTGCTTTGGAGATGAAAATAAAGAAGCTTGATGTCTATGGGGATTCAATGTTAATAATCTGTCAAGTGAAAGGCGAATGGCAGACCAAGGAGGAAAAATTGATACCATATCAACAATATCTCTCGAAACTGACTGAGGGCTTTGATGAGATAGATTTTACCCACATGGGAAGAGACAAAAACCAGTTTGCTGATGCTTTGGCAACCTTAGCTTCTATGGCCAAAACTGATTACGGAGTAAGAGTACAACCAATCTGCATTGAGATTAGAAATTTTCCAGCTTATTGTTGTTCAGTTGAAGGAGAAATAGATGGGAACCCATGGTTTTATGACATCAAGCAGTTTATCCAATATCAAGAGTATCCCTTGGGGGCATCCAAAGCAGATATGAAGACCTTGAGAAGGTTAGCTCTGGAATTTTACCTGGATGGAGAAATTCTATACAAAAGGTCATTCAATGGGACTTTACTGAGATGTCTAGATGAAATCGAAGCTAAGTTAGCATTGCAAGAAATTCATGAAGGAATTTGTGCAACTCATGCAAGTGGGCATATGATGGCTAGACAATTACAACGATCAGGGTATTTCTGGATGACCATGGAGAAAGATTGCATCGATTATGTCAGGAAATGTCATAAATGTCAAGTGTATAGTGATAAGATAAATGCACCTCCAGCTCCTCTATTTAATATGACATCACCATGGCCATTTGCAATGTGGGGAATAGATGTGATTGGGCCAATCAACCCAAAAGCCAGCAATAAGCATCAATTTATCTTAGTAGCCATTGATTACTTCACAAAGTGGGTGGAGGCCAGCTCTTATGCCCATGTAACTCAAAAGGTGGTCAAGAGTTTTATTGAGAAAGATTTGATCTGTCGATATGGTTCACCTGAGAAGATAGTGACCGATAATGCCCAGAATTTTAATGGAAAAATGATCACAGAATTGTGCATGAAGTGGAAGATTAAACATTCAAACTCATCTCCCTACAGACCAAAGATGAATGGTGCTGTCGAAGCTGCAAACAAGAATATCAAGAAGATTATCCAGAAGATGGTAGTTAATTACAAGGATTGGCATGAGATGCTTCCCTTTGCTCTACATGCATATCGCACAGCAGTAAGAACGTCTACTGGAGCTACACCTTATTCACTAGTATTTGGGATGGAGGCGGTGATGCCTTTGGAAGTAGAAATTCCATCTTTGAGAGTACTAATAGAATCTGAACTAGAAGAAGCTGAATGGGCTAAAGTGAGATATGAGCAGCTAAACATGATAAGTGAGAAGAGGTTGGCTGCAATTTGTCATCACCAGCTATACCAAAGAAGGATGGCCAAAGCATATGACCGGAAAGTCCGACCAAGAGAATTCAAAGAGGGGGATCTTGTACTCAAAAAAATCTTACCACTACCAAGTGAAGACCGAAGCAAGTGGGCACCAAACTATGAAGGTCCATATGTAGTGAAGAAATCTTTCTCCGGAGGGGCTATGTTGTTAACTAGGATGGATGGAGATGATTTACCAAGGCCCGTGAACTCTGATTCTGTGAAAAAGTATTATGTATGATGTATTTCATCCAATCAAAATCAAATGAAATGAAGTTTTGGCCAGGAAATTCTCTTTGCATATACCTCACCAAAAAGCCCATGCATGATCTCAATGGCTCAACAATCTGATCTTTCAAATATTTTTTTTTACAAGAGAACCCATTCTTCTTAAATGAGGTTTTAAAAGAATTGATTTTGTTTATGATTTCAATGAAATAAATCAATGATTTGTTTAGGATAATGTTCAAAGCAATTCTCTTGAAAGAGATGACCATACAAGTCAAAAACACGCAATTGGAACAACTATCACTTAAATTCTGTCTTGGACTTACATTTTATCAGCATGAATAATGGTTGGTAGTTAGCTTGTCATGGACTTGCAAAACATGGTATCTTATAAATCCAAAACATTACGCTGGATGTGGACAAAGTTTATTGGTTTTAACCGATCTTACTTGAAATGAAGAAAGGCCATCTTTGATATTCCTTTCACTTTCTTTTGAAATTATCCTTTGCAGTCCCAATTTGAGCCAAGTTTATTTAAAGTTTTTTTCATAAGAACCTTAACTAAGATCACACCCTACACTGGGGGCAAAATGAAAGAAATGATCATGGAAATCATCTTGAAGACATGTGAGCTTATGAAGTCTGACAACAAGGAATTCAAATAAAAAAATTCCAAATAATTGAGAGAATTCCCAACAAATAGAAAAAATTCCTAATTTGGAATATTTAGTATCATTTTGTTGTCAAGATAGCAAAAGAAAAGATGAAAATAAGATAACAGTGATCTATAGTTTTCAAACCCTTAAACACTTTCTTTGAGCTTATGAAATCCTCTTTCTTTTACAGCCTTGAGCCATAAACACATTACATGCCTTTAAAGTCCTTTCTAATCAAGGAAGCAACCTGAATTAATAAACAGCGTTCCTAAAATATAAGAGACTTTTTCATAAAGAGTCATGATGTAGCAAATAATTACTCATTATTATTCATGCTGATAAAAGGACTGTTTCTAAAAATAAAGGGTAATTGTTTCTTTTCCCTCAAAATACATTCAAGATTGTTTGAACACATTGAAAAACCAAAGCAGAAGGTCATCTCATCACTTACCTTTATTTGGGATTACTTTTAATAAGAGATTTAATACAAATCCTTAGAGTTGCTTGAACATTGTTATAAACAGACATTGAGAGTTTCAGTTTTCAAAAACAAAAGAGATCTTTTAAAAAATCATTTTTGAAAAAATGGTTTTCTATGTGAAGAAGACAGATATATGAGACACCACGAGGCAGTGTTAGAAAATCAGAGATTCTAACGACAACAAGAGCAAATAAAGAAATGAAAAGAGACAGTTACTTCTTCCAAGGGTAGAGAAGCAATCACAAGAAATCTTCCAGAGGCAGAGAAGCAGTCACTAGATTCCTAATGGCACAAAGAAATTTGCTTCCCTAGTGAGAGATACACATGATAAAACTGTAGATTTCTTCCAGAGTGGGATTGAAATAGCATGATTATGCAGTTTCTATGAAATGAGATTTTTGCTTCTCGTAATATGATCAGTTAGACAATATGATAACTGATACATCTTCGGATATGGAAATCCTAGGTGAAGTGGGATAATCCTCATATATTGACCATATGAATTGGTTAAAAATCCTCAACAACGGAAATGTCACCAACAACATGATGCCAGACCAGAGAGAAGCTAATGCTCACAATGAAGTATCCAATGGATAAAGAGGCAGTGACTATTGAGAAACTCAAATAACGTTTATCTTGGAGAACTCAACAACATGGGTCAGCTTGAGTAGATTTGAAAGACGCGTGAATCAAAAGAGCTTGCTAACATTCAAGATCGCCAGACAAGATGAATGGGGGATCTATATTTCAAAAAGGTAAGATGCATCTCATATCATCTAACTTCACAAACATTGCATATTTGTCTTGTAGATATTTCTTGAAACAAAATTCCCAACAGGATCCAACGAGATTCAGACGAAATGAAGTCATTTTAATCACACCAAATATGACAATTTCATGAAAGCAAAATTCATAAATGAAGAAAAGAAAGATGGATTTTTATTCATGACAAAAGGTTTAAAAGTACAAATATTAAACAGTGCGAGGACGATCAGGGATATTGTCATCTTGATCATTAATTAAGCCTCGAAGTTCTTCAAATTGTTTACGCATATTCTCCATCTCTTCCTCAAACTCGAGGTGTCGTGTGTTAACATAGTCCTTCCAAAAGTCGACACGTGTATTCAGCTCTTGGTTCCTCCTCTCCAAGTCATTTCTCTGACGTCTTTCATCACGGAGTCTATTCCTTAAATTCTCAATCAGATGATGGAGATCAAGAACCTGAGTATTCAGCTCAAGTCTTCTAGCATGAAGACGCTCTGCAACGTTCACCAGAGATGAATTAGCTCTGATACTGAGAGCAAGTGACTGATTCACTGCTTCAATATCGCTCCTAGCTGCCAGCATGGTTTCATCACGGGGAAGGACCATGTCTCTAGCCACGGCTACAGCAGTATCTTCATTGTCCATTACAGTATCTTCTATTGTAACTGGACGACCATTCACTTCAAAAGTAGTACGCCAAACTATAGGCTCTACTGCAGGAACAAGATTTGGGTTAACATTGGAAGAAGAGGAAGACATGATTAAAGCTTCAAGAGTTGGGAACTTTGAAAGGCTTGAAATACAAGAAGTTGATGATGTTTGTCACCAAAAACTGCGTAATTTATAAGGATTCTACTCTTACTATTACTCTGAACAGATGATCAAATCTCAACCATAGACGTAAGACTTTCATGAGAAGCTTTCATTATCTCTGAAATTGATTGCAAATCAGATCTCAGCCGTAGATATAAGACTTTCATTAGAAGCTTTCATTATCTCTGAAATAGATTGCAAATCAGATCTCAGCCGTAGATATAAGACTTTCGTGAGAAGCTTTCATCATCTCTAAGATTGATTCACAAATCAGATCTCAACCGTAGATATAAGACTTTCGTGAGAAGCTTTCATCATCTTTGAGATCAATTTTTACAAATCGGATCTGAGTCATACAAATATGACTTCCTTTAGAAGTTTTCATTAACTTTGAAAATCATAGTGAAATTACTTTCATGTATTTCATAAAATCAATCTGAAATCACTTTTATGTATTTCAGAAAACCATTATTGAAATCACTTTCATGTATTTCACACAACCATTGATGAAATCACTTCCATGTATTTCACAAAATCAATCTGAAATCACTTTCATGTATTTCACACAACCATTGATGAAATCACTTCCATGTATTTCACAAAATCAATCTGAAATCACTTTCATGTATTTCAGGAAATCAATGATGAAATCACTTTCATGTATTTCATAAAATCAATATGAAATCAGTTTCATGTATTTCAGAAAATCAATGATGAAATCACTTTCATGTATTTCATAAAATCAATCTGAAATCACTTTAATGTATTTCAGAAAACCATTATTGAAATCACTTTCATGTATTTCACAAAAACATTGATGAAATCACTTCCATGTATTTCACAAAATCAATCTGAAATCACTTTCATGTATTTCAGAAAACCATCGTTGAAATCACTTCCATGTATTTCACAAAATCAATCTGAAATCACTTTCATGTATTTCAGAAAACCATTGTTGAAATCACTTTCATGTATTTCACAAAATCAATATGAAATCACTTTCATGTATTTCAGAAAACCATCGTTGAAATCACTTCCATGTATTTCACAAAATCAAGGATGAAATTACTTTCATGTAAAACAATCTGAAATCACTTTCATGTATTTCAGGAAAACCATCAATGAAATCACTTTCATGTATTTCACCAAACCATTATTGAAATCACTTTC